CCTCACTAAAGCTAACACCTCGATACATTCGTCAGCTGACCGAGCAGATGCACGTGAGCTGACGATTGAATACACACACAGACGGACGACAGCATGCTATTGCCCCCTCTCTTTCTCCCTTTATCCCTTCCTCTGCTCAGATGTATTCTCTAATGGAGAGCACTGTCCTCGTAGCCACGAATCTTGCTGTGATGGTCGGCCATCAATTATGGCCGCCAGGTCCTTCCCTCAGCATCTTTCTTAACGAAGTGGGCGCCCTGATGGTTTTGGTCTTAATAGAGGCAGCTGCCGAGGCCTTTCTCTTTGTTGTAAGACAACATATCTATGCCGACCACCAATACATATCTTGTCAATCTGTGCTCTTCTCGCCAGGTGATGATCAGATGGCATAATTTGCCACTCACGGGATCAGGGGAAGAGAGGGGCGTACTGTGGAATCGCACACTTGTGTGCCTGTGGGCGACTATCCATGTGTCTCTAGGGATTCTGACCTTTTTCTACACCTTTCTGACGAAGGTAGGCCTCTTTCCAGCAACGAATAGGCGGTGGGTAATTGTGTAGCGAACTCCCCGTGTCCCTTGCTTTGTTTGGCAGGTTGTTGATTCGGACAAGTGGGCCGGTGTCAATGTCGATCCCCATGATTTCTGTCCACATTTTTCTTTCGTGCGCGAGTGGGAATACCACAGTAACAGAGTCTGATGTGTATCTTGCGAACAACCATGACTACTCTTGAGTGTCTCGACGTGTTCGGATCGGAGATAAGCTGGTCGATGGCAGACAGACAGAAGGAGATGGACAGGCGAGGGTGGGCAATAAGTGAGCTGACGAGGAAAGTGATGTGTCGTGCAAGAAGTCTTCTTTGATGGCAGCTTCGGCTCATGCCATGTACAGCACGCCGTGAATACCACCGGGACCATTGATTCAGTCCGACAGTGTATATCAGTCAGTCGCTGCGTGTGTGGCTGTAGGAGACTCTGATGCCCTGCTGGGCCAACTCAGGAGCAAAGTCTCGCTGCACCTCCGCACCCAACTCACCATGGCCAGCATTATACTGAAGACAGAGACAGAGACAGACAGACATGCGTTCGCAGGGAGGACACGAGACGCCCCTCAATGCATTGCTGGTGTCTCATTGATCAATCACCTGTGCGATCGGCCCAGCTTCAACGGTAGCGCCCCGCACAATGGTCTCCCCCATCCTTGTGCTGGTCATTTCACCCTCACCCAGCTGCCCCTGCCCCCTGCGCAACTCCTGGCTGTCCTGGCGCTGTGACAGCTCTGGGCCGAGGATTGGTGTCGCAGGCACACCGTCTGGCGACCTCGGAGACGTATGCTGGCTGGCAGATGAGCAGACGGGCATTGTGCGCCAGGAGTGAGGAAGAGGGAGAGGGATGGGCGGCTGGACAGGCTGATGTGGCTCCTGCATGACCAACACAAAAGGGACGACAACGCAGGCAGAAGTGAGGCGGGCGTGTCTTGTTCTCTGCATCCATGTACTTCTTCGTCGTCGGGCAACTCCACATAGACGTCACGATACTCGACTTCTACCCTGGGCACATACCTGTGCAGAGGGAGAGGAGGGAGGGAGGGCAGCTAAAAGCACATATTGCATTTGCAATGCCTGTTCTGTGTGTTGGGCATTCCCATGCCTGATAATCTCTCGTTCGGTGATCCGCGGGACGTATTTGACTCTCTGATGTATGATGGGCACTTCAACATACCTGAAAGAAAGACATCAGAGCATGACAAGAGCAAGAAGCCATGCTGCTCGAAGGGCCTCTTCAATCGCACCTCACTCTCTCGTACACCGGCTGCACGACCACCTGTCCACGCCAGCACACCCATACGTTGCCGCACGCAATGCCATGCACCTGTGTTTTCCTGTGCGCCTACAGCTGGGACAATGAAAGGCTGTGGAGAAGGCGGAGGGCGCACATGCATCCAGGGCTGCATTCCAGGCGGCTGCATCATTGCAGAAGCCTGCCGGGGTTACCCACTCAAAATTTGACGGGGCGCCTGTGTAACGATCTCTGTCTCAACCTCAATTCCGATGCAACGATGGATTTTTCAGCGCTCCTGAGGCAGCGCGGGAACGTGGTGTTTCCCAATGATCCATGCTGCCTCCCGCCAACCCACCGCTCCACTCAGCCAAGGGACTCAGCCCCGTGCAAGCGCCAGGGGGCCAGTCGGTCTTGATTGAAGGCTTCGAGCAGCCGCCAGCCGCTCAGGACGCTCACTCCACTTCATTGGCCGCAAAGAGCGATGCTGACGTCTGCTTGAGCGGAGCAGAAGCGGTCATAGCGACGACTGAGTGAGCGACGAGAGTGGCGCGAGTGTGGGTGCGGGAGGCTGACAGCTCGGTCATCAGCCACCGGACTTATCCATTCCTGCCCGACGACGTGAGCAGTGTTGACAGTCGTGTGATATACTTCGAGTGCCGTGAGTGTGACGAAGTGGCTCGTGAAGGGCCAGAGAGGGACGCCGGGCAGCATCACAAGCACGGCTGCAGCAGATTCACACCGCCACAGCAGCATCAGCATCAGCAACAGCCGGCACAGGAGACCCTAGCAACACAAGCTGGCGAGTCAATGGTGAGAGCAGGCACAACCACAAACACAAGCACCACGCGGTTGACTCATTGCTTGTCTTGCTGCTTGCTTCCTTCGTTCACTCAGCCTCCCCCGCAGCACCTCATCGCCGACCTAGATCACAAGCAGGTGCGGTCCTTCTCAGTCGCCGTCCGCCTCTCACCCAACTTCCCGCAGGAGCTGGAGGGCACAGGTGTGCCTGCCGTGCTGCTCGTCGAGCCTCACGACCCCTCCGCGCCCATCTACATCGCCGAGGGGTTCGACTACCTGTCGTTCCTGCGCCAGCGCCGCAACCAGAACGACCTCCACCCCAACCTATCCGACAACGACATAGAGAGCATGCGCGGCGACAGCCCCCATCTGACCACCTACGCCTTCTTCGCCGGCAAGGACCTCGACGCCGTCTCGGGCAGCTCCAGGACGCGGCTCGTGCAGCCGGCCACGGCGAGGCTGTGGGTCAAGGGGCGGGACTGCACCACAGTGGCTGAGGAGCGGTCCTACTTGTTTCTTCACTGCGGTCTGGACAGCCCTGGCGAGGTGATGGTGGCCAAGTACTGCGGCCTGTGTCGGGGGACGGCGGTGCAGTTCGAGCCGGTGGACCACAAGATGACATGCCCGCTGCGGACGGTGTGGGGTGGGCTCATGGACGCTGCGGTGAGTGAGGCTGGCCGGCTGGCTGGCTAGGAGGGGGGAGGGCGGGGGTACATTCAAAAAGAGGGAGTAAGTGTGTGGTTTGTTGGTGGTTCTGCAGGCTGCTGGTGCGGTGCCCTTCATACCCATGGTTGGCGTCGGCGGCCTCACGAACGGCCTGCAGGAACCGAAGCAGCAGCAGCAGCAGGAGGCATCGCAGCAGCTAGCGAATGGACAGCGCCCTGGACTCATGGTGAGACCAACAGACAGACTACACCGCAACCACACCCATTCCATGGCCGCCGTGGTTGCTGCATTCAGGTTCCCCTCCCTCGAAGCCTTGCTCCTCCCATGACACGCATCAACGACTCCTTCTCGGCCGCGCCCACCCCGCTGTTCCTCCTCGCCCGTGACGGCGGCCCCATCACTGCCGAGCAGCTCAAGGACCTCGGCGCGCAGCAGATGACCATCGCATGCACCGACCTCGAGTGGACGCCTCTTCAGATGGCATCACACATGGGCCACATCGACGTTGTCCAGGCACTCCTCAGCCACCCCCTCGCCCCAGCCCTCATTAACAAGGCCATCGACCACCAGACCCCCCTGGTGCTCGCCGCGACAGCCAACCATGACGATGTGGTGCAGTGCCTGCTGGAGGCTGGCGCGGACCCCACCACACGGACAGAAGACCAGCGCGGTGACACCCTCGTGCACCTCTGTGCGCGGAAGGGATGCACAGAGGCCCTGTGGAAGCTCGGCGACTTCGATCGCAGTCTGCTGTCGCTGCCCAACCGGTGCGGGGAGACCCCTCTGAGCGCAGCCGTCAAGGCCGACGAGTCGGGTGCGGTGACCTGCCTCCTCGACATGGGCGTCGACTTCAAGATGGTGACGAGCCACCTGCCCACCCAGCCAGACCACAAGAGGCGGCAAGCCATTCCTCAGGGAGGAGCGGTGGTGCCATGGGCGGCGGAGGGGTCCATCGGGTCGGCAACAGCAGCAGGAAGAGAGGGCTCGTGTGACAGTGGTGGTGCAGAAGCTGAGGGTGTGATGGCTCGTGTCAAGAAGGAGGAGGAGGAGCTGGGTATTGGGGCGCTGGCCCAACCACTGGTTCCTATGCCATTAGCGACCGAAGCACTTCCCCAATCACCACTCGAATCACCGGTAAGGGCAGGGCATGCACATCGGACAGCCAGACTGCGCAATCACCCCATCCATCCATCCATCCATGTCTCCTTGTCCGTCAGCAGGGAGGCCCGTTTGACGTGTTTCGCGGCACTGGCGCCCGCTACTCATTCGGCTTCCTGCTCGACCGCTACCCAGCCCACCGTTCGTCCCTGCCCTTCGTGAAGCTGCTGAGCTTCTTCCTGGAGAACCGCACCTACAACAACCGCAACGAGGCCCGATACGACTTCCTGCGCATCACACGCGGCGACCTGAACTGCGTCAACCTCAAGAACGCGATAGCCAAGATGGTGGTGGACGGCCAGCCGGCCGACTACTTCGTCACCTGCGACCCGGGCAAAGGCTACCGAGGTGGGGGAGACAGCGCCAGGGAGAGGAGGGACAAGATACCTGAGGAAATCCAACACGTAAGCAAGCAAGGACATCCATCCGGCCATCCATCCATCCATCCATCCATCCATCCGGCCATTCATTCAACTCTCTGCCTGCTTCAGGTTCGTTTCAACACGTCCTATGTGGTTATCGATCGCAATACGGGTGGCGAGTTGCGTCGGTGCAAGTCGCGGAAGAGCTCCAAGGACACACTCACTTCTGTCGACAACTTCCTGGCCAGCCTTTACCGTGAGCAAGACGCTGGCTACCGCCCGAGGGCTGCCGTACTGGTCATCAAGAGTATACAGGCCCAGGCTCAACGCAACTACCGAACCGCCGATCTCTCGTAAGCTAACTGACTGACAGGAGCTCACAGGGGGAGACTGCCATGCGACGCCTTTGTGCATGTCATGTGTGTCCTCCCTCAGTTGGCGGAAGGATAGCGGCATTCAGGACCTATGCGTTGCGTTCGGTGAAGACATCACGCACGAGGTGAGACTGACTGACTGACAACCCATCAGACACACAGAGAGCATATCATGGCTGTATCCGTCGGTCACGCCTACACATCACATCCTCTAATACTGCTGTTCAGTTCGCTGACGTCATCTCACAGCTCGAGAGTGCCCCTGCCGACCAGCCACCTGCAGCAGCTGATGTGTCTGAGACGGCAGCCGCCCCTGCAGCAGCCGCAGCAGCAGCAGCAGCCGCCATGCCCTCCCAGGCTGCATCCGCCAGAGAGAACAGCGCCAGCATGACGTTGGCACCCTGCATCAAGGGCAACCCCCCGCCAGATCTGCTGGTGGCCCGTCTGCTGCTGTTCCAGGATGCCTCCCCTTGGTCCAACACCGACCCGTACAAGGTGGTGCGGCGAGTGGTGAGCCTGGGCGGCCCGGAGGAGGACTGCGCGGCACACATGAAGGTGGAGCTGGCGGAGCAGCAGCTGACGTCGCCGTCATTCACCATCGAGGGCTTCATCTACGACGACTTCATCAAGCGTCAGGCTGCCGAGGGGCGCCTTCTCAACTGGAGCAGCGACGCGGCCGTGACAGGTTCGGCGGACGGCGTGGTGGTGGTCTTCTTTGTTGGCTTCACTCTCGACCCCACGGCCCACCCGAAGAGCGCTCAGCTGGTGTCACAGGGCAGGTTCCGCGTGTGGAAGTCTCCGGGGCAGCAGGAGGGGCGTGGCAGACAGCGGGGCACGAGCACGGACATGGTGGGCGACCGGCCGTTCCTGTACTGCGGCATGGACGCTAACCGCGAGGTGGTGCTCTATCGCATTTGTCCGCAGTGCCAGCAGTTCGTCCGTGGCCTGCACCACCGCATTCGCCATTGGCCCACATGCCCGGCATACGAAGCACATCCCGACGAGGTGACTGACCGACCAGCTGACAGGAACGTCGAGAGCCGTGTATTGATTGCATCGGTATGCATGTTTGCCTCGTGTGTGTCTCCATGTGTCTGTGCAGTCTGACCAGGAGCATCCTGCCATGGCTGGCCCCCTGCTGCCACCCGACGCTCCACTGGTGAGCAACAAAGGGCACGCCTCGAGATGGATATCACCTGCCACGAGTGCACTGGTCCCATCCATCCGTCCATCCATATATGTGTGTGTGTGTGTGTGTGTCTCTGTGTGTCTTTGTGTGTGTGTGCTTCAGCCGCTGCCTGCCCCAGTGTCTGAGCGGCGGCCCCTCAGCTACCCACCCGGCATCCAGCGTGCGCGTGGCCGCAAGAAGGTCGTCAAGGAGGAGGTCAACAGCGACGTCACGCCCCCTCATGAGACGGGTGCCGCTGACGAGGAGTGCCCTGCCGTCGACATAGACTTGCAGCAGCGGCAGCAGCCCGACAGAGTGGCCCCCAAGAGGCGAGCCAAGCGAGCGGCGAGCAAGGCGGCAGCAGCAGCAGCAGCAGCAGCAGATGACACACTAGACGACGGCGACGATGACCAACATCAGCCGGACGCCGGCCAGACAGACATTGAGCCAGCAAAGAAAAGGAAGACCCCCAAGAAGACCGCTGCTGCCAGTAGAACACAAGACAAGGAGGACGAGCCACGCCAGGCACGCGGCAAGCGCAAGCCGACCGACACGCCGACAGCCAGCCAGAGGAAGCGCAAGGCGGCCAAGAAGCAGCCGATGGAGAGCGCGTCGGTGTTCGGTATTTCCCTGGCTGAGCTGCTCAAGGATGGGGGGCATGGGGCGCTCCTGACGGGCAGCGACATCCCCACCGAGTACGGCGGCGGGTCGGCCGATCTGCAGCCCGATGCCCTGCTGTCTCTGGAGATCGCTCAACAGCAACAAGGAGGCGGTGAGGGAGAGGTCCCACAGCAATCAATGGCGACGGTCTACCGCATAGAGGGCTTTTGCCTGCCTGACGACGAGGGCGGCAAGCAGAGGCCAGCCACGCAGCAACAGCAGGCGTCTTCTGCCGGTTCAGGCCCCCTCCTCTCCTTCGCCTTCCACCTCGGCACATCGCGAATAGACAGCAATGGTGCCAATGCGGCAATGGCAATGGCGGCCGGCCAGCCGACTGCGCGTGTCTGGCGTCTGGAGGGGGAGGGCGGCCAACCAGCGGTCGACAGCTACCCATTCGACTCAGACGCGGTCAACGTGGTGGTGGTGGATCTGTGCACTCACTGCGGTGCGTACGGCCAGCGGTCGGACAGCAGGGGCGACGGCATAGAGCACAACGAGGCGTGCCCCGTGCCAGCCATGCAGGAGGTTAGTTCATCTGCCGGTGTGGGTGTGGCTTCGCGTGTCAAAGGGGGACGGCCCAAGAAGACTGCGAGCGGCTTGTCAAACACGAAGAGCAAGAGGGGCAGCAGTAGGAGTGCCGCTGGTGGTGGTGGCGGTGGTGGTGGTGTGGGTGGTGCTGCTGGTGGTGGCGCGTGCGAGCACATCGCCGACCTGTGAACACATACACACACGTGACGTATGTATAGACAGACAAACACATTTCACACATTGATGCACACACACACACACACACAGGCAGACATAGATTGCCTGCCCTGTGCATGGCATGCAGTATAGAGAGCATTGAACAGACTCCTTTTCATTCAAACAGACTCGAGAATGGCCAGGAAGTGAATGAATGAATGAATGAGTCAACGAATGATTGAACGACTCGACTGACTGACCCGCCCTGTTGTCTATCTGGTGGTGTGTATCGTTGGGTACACGAAGTGGCCATCGAATATGAGCGGTAGGGTTTGAGACCCTGAAACCCGAAGAACCCTACGGAGAGGGAAGCGAGGCTCAGGGCGGATGCCACCAGCGCGACCGGCCGGTGAGGGAGAGTCTCAGACTGGAGGGGCAGTTGGCACCAGTTCCAGCGCGACTGGCCGACCTCCTGGCACCCCCGCTCTTCTGCGTTTGAAATTGAGCGGGCGAGAGGCTCCGGTCCTCTTTGAGACTGATTGGGTGGAACCGACGAGGCGATGGGGCGACGCCCCGCAGGGACGACGGAATGCCGCACTGATAGGGATGAGTCTCCCCTACAAGATAGTCAACGAGAGAGCCCAGGACCACGGTATCCGCGCAATGCCATCCGATGAATGACACAACAGTCGGTCTCTTCGCATGTCGTCGGCTGCATCTGTGTGTAGGCAGGACGTTGGCGGAGAGACTCAGGGACAACGAACCCATCGTGATCAATGGCAGCGCCAAGCTGTGGGACGAGCACACGAGCATGGTCTTCAGCGAAGGCTTCCCTGTCGAGTTGCCCAAGGACGTCACAGTGAGCCGGGTGAAAGCCGAGCTCAAGCGATGGGGGATTGTGGCGGAGGAGACCGATATCCTATCCACCCAAATACTAAGGTGGGCGCTCAAGGATTGAGTCGGAAATGCATCTGTACATTTCATGGCGGCTGTCTGATCTCTCTCAGAGTCTTGTGTTTGAGGTTATGGGAGAGTGTGCAGCGGTGGTGGCGGAGAGGGCGTGAGCCAACACTGCTATAACAGTAATGCACCACCGCCACCACAGCAAATGGACGAGGGGGGTGTTGACAGTGAAGCATATGCCCTTGACTCCCTCCCTCTCCCTCTGCAGGTGTGTCCCGTCTGCTTCTCATCTGCCAGCCAGCATATGTCTCCGAGGCCGCCAGACGGTGTGCCTGCGACACCAATCCTCGGCCCAGAGCTGCCACAGCGCCAGGACAGCCAGGAGTTGCGCAGGGGGCAGGGGCAGCTGGGTGAGGGTGAAATGACCAGCACAAGGATGGGGGAGACCATTGTGCGGGGCGCTACCGTTGGGGCTGGGCCGATCGCACAGGTGATTGATCAATGAGACACCAGCAATGCATTGAGGGGCCTCTCGTGTCCTCTCTGCGAACGCATGTCTGTCTGTCTGTCTCTGTCTCTGTCTTCAGTATAATGCTGGCCATGGTGAGTTGGGTGCGGAGGTGCAGCGAGACTTTGCTCCTGAGTTGGCCCAGCAGGGCATCAGAGTCTCCCACAGGCACACACGCAGCGACTGACTGATATACACTGTCGGACTGAATCAATGGTCCTGGTGGTATTCACGGCGTGTTGTGCATGGCTTAAACTCATCTCATAGGTGCGCACGATGATTCATTCGGCACGCAAACACGCACACGTCTGTCCGTCAGCGAGTGACACACACACAAAATAACAGTAGTGTCTGTGCTAACATAACAGACTATACACCGCCACGCATGGAATACCGAGCTTCCCGTCCCCACCACACCACACCAACCACCCCATTCATTATATACTCAATCAAGAGCCCGCAGATATGCCATGCAATCCCTCTCCCGCCGTCTCGTCTCATCCCGCCTCTCTGCCGCCTCCCACGCACTCGAGACGCCCATCACCACCCACTCGGGCAAATCGGCACTGAAGTCATCCCGCTCTTCGTATTTCACCACAGTCAGAGCTCTGAGCTTTTCTTCGGCCCTCGACCGCCACCACCCCCTGCCCCTCCCCCTCGTGGCCGCCAGCCGTTTCATGTCGCGGTGTGAGTGCGGGGCGGTGAGGGATGCGGGCGGGGGAAGGGGTATGCCGAGTGGCGGTACTGCACCAATGTCTCTCTGATGGGGGATGCATGGCCCACCCGTGTGGTCCATCTGCCGCCTCTCAGGGTCAGCGGTGAGGGCTGGCGACGATGAGGCCGCAGACAGCTGAGCGGTTTCCTTGGGCTCCTCTGCCGCTTCTTCCATCACATGGCGGGGGGGCATGCGGATGAAATCCTCCAGCGACATAATCGGAGCCTCACCCTCATCGGCCGATGATGCCGGCTGCGCCTCAATAGCCCTCCTCTCCTCGTCCGACGGCAACTCAACAGCAGCAGCAGCAGCAGCAGCGATAGACTCCGACGGCTGAGCCACTTCTGACCCTCGACGGTCCTCTCCCTCAACCATAGGCACAGCAGATGGCAGGCCCGGTGCTGGTGCTGGCTCAGCGGTCTTATCGGCAGCTTGCTGGTCCTCGGAGCTCTTCCCCTCAGCAGCAGCGGGTGGGTGCGACACGGCCGCATGAGCACCGCCCCCAGCAGATGGCGAGCCAGGCACACGCGCAATGGGCGGCCGGACCTGCCGCAATGGCGGCAGAAAAGACAGCATTGTCTTGTCGTCAACAGACCTTGCCGATCGCGAGCCGAGCTCGTCGGCTTCATGTTCCTGCTGCTGCTGCTTGCGTGAGGGAGGCAGCACCGGCAGGGAGGGTGTTGGGCTGCCTGGCGCGTGTGGGTGTGGCGGCAGAACGAGAGGGGGCTGCTGCTGCTGCTGCTGCTGTGTCTGGGGCTGTGGTTGCGTTGAAGGGGAGGAAGGGAAGGACGGAAAAGGGATAACTGTGGTGGCGGTGATGGAGGTGGGGCAGCTGGGCGAGGCAGGCACCGACGCACCCCGCCCTGCAGCACCGGGCTGGGCACTGGCAGTGGCCATCCACGAGCCAAAGAACGATGACACCACGGGGCTCTGAAAGACACAGACAGACAGACAGACAGACAGACAACACATTCTTGGCCATTCATTTGCCGCGTCCTGTGTCCTCACCACCAGTGTCTGCGGGGGGGTTGGTAGTGTCGGCATTGTCGGCAATGTCGGCAAGCTCAGCCGCCGGAATGCTGCAGCAGTGCGGGAGGGCGCCAGCAGCCAATCGGGTATCTCCCCAAGACCGATAGAGTGGATGAACTCGTTGGCGAAGTGACACGAGTTGCGGTCGACTGCGTCGTAGGAGTCGGCTCTCCAGTCGCTTGCCATCCGCCTGAGAATGAACTTTATCTCCTCCTCGCTGCGACGGGTGAACCCCTGACACCCAACACAGCACAGCACAACAACCGTGCCAGCCAGAGTGATGCTGCTTCACTTCACTTCACTCTGCCCTTTGCTCTCTCACCATTTCGATTCGCTGCCTGTGTGTGAAGCCCTGCTTTGGGCCGCCGGGATTCCAGCTCACAGCGATGCCTACAGAGGGATATTGACGAAAGTGAGCAGACGATAAGCGGCGAGATGACAAGCGAGTCCTCCATCAGCATATGACTGGCTGACCTGAGTCGTTGATGCAGCCTGGGCGGCTCTCGCTGCTGAAGTCCAGTTCCTTCTTGTAGACCTCCACGCCGCAGTGGTACACGCCTGCATGGCATGCAGACAGCACACGGAGACCTCCATGCACGCCTCTATAGAAGTGTCGAGGAAAACAGTGCTTTGGCAGTGGTTCGTTCTGTTACCCGTGCCGATTGCTCGCATGATCTGACCGATTGCAGGGTGTGCAGGGTCATACACGTGCACGTACACAGGACTCCCATGCTCATCCATTTCGCTCTTTCCCTCCCTCAAGCCAGAGAAGAGAAGCTCGCAGCTCCGTGAAACAGCTCCCCCCCTTGAAACAGCTGGTGGAAGGTAGGTGGAAGAGGAAGAAGGTAGCTTGGGAAGGAGCGGCTGCGACTCACTCCTCATAATACACACAGGTGAGCTGGCGTCAGTGCACTGATGCATTTACCTGGAACCGTCCACGATGCTATGGATGTTTGTTTCAAGATCATAGAGAATGGCATCGTCATTGTCCGTCACCGTGTCCGAGTGCAGCCTCTGCAAGGAGGAGTATGAGCCGTCGGGCAGCAAAGGGCCTCGGGTGCTCAGATGCGGTGAGTGCTCTCCAGCAAACGCCACACCACCTGTGCTGTGCTTTGCTGTGCTGTGTGTTGTCTGCTGCGTGTTTGGTCAGGCCATTCGTTCTGTGCTCAGGTAGTGAGTGACGCACACGCCGGGTGCCTAACCTGCCAGGCTGGGCTGCACGCATGGCTTGGATGTCATGTTTGCAATCAGTGCATCGTGGCGCTCATCAACCAACACCCTCATGGCCACCGCCAGGCCATCTGCCCCCTCTGCAAGTACGCTCACACACACAACACACACACACACACACACACAACACACATCTATCTAAAGCTGCTCTTTCTTGGGTGTGTGTGTGTGTGTGTGTTAGGGAGGTGACTGCGGAGGTGTGTGCGCGTGACAACTATTTGGCGCGCGAGTGTGTGGAGCAGCAGTGGCAGCTGCGGGCGGCCTTGGAGCCGGATGCTCCCATGCCCCCGACCAAGGTCGTGTTCCGCGTCCGCCTCCCGACCGACTACTTCTACAGCCGCCGCCTCGGCAGACGCTGGGTGGAGCGTGTGCGGCTCGTGGGCAACCTCCCGACACTAGGTAGGTAGGTATATCTCGTTAGTACTAACGCCGCCCGTTGGAATGAATGAGTCAATGAATGATGCCACCCACAGGTTCGTGGGATCCTATGAAGGGCCTGGAGCTGACCACAAGTGACGCCATGTGAGAGGAGCGTTGGCGGCGGTGGCTGTGTCACTCATAGTGTCTGTCTGTCTGTCTGTCGGTCGGTCGGTCGGTGTGTGCGTCAGGTATCCTGTGTGGCAGTCGCAGCCAATCAACGTGCCTCTTGGGGAGAAGGTGGAGTACAAGTACGTGACGGTCGACACCTGGTGTCGGCAGCTTCGCATCAAGTGGGAGGACCGCAAAGCCAACAGAGAACTCATCCCTTGGGGTACGCGAAGCCAAGCCGCGCCGTGTCAGACAGACGCGACACAGTGTCTGGTGTGCATCCGTCCATCTGCACAGTTGAGGGCGGCAGTGTTGTTGGTAGCTTCGGCTACCGCGTGGTGCATGACGACCTGGGCAGCATGTGAGCCCCGACGGACACAACGCGGCTGCCTCATCTCACCATCCATGTGTGTGCCTGCGTCTGTCTGTCTGTCGCTCAGCCCCTCGGCACACGCCGCCTGCATCACCGACTGGCTGGGCGGCAGTGCACACCTCACTCTCCACTACTGGTACGGACGCACCACACACGTGGATGTGCCTTTCATCCACTGTGTGTGTGTGTGTGCGTGTGTGTGCGTGTGTGTGTGTGTGTGTATGTCAGCTCATCGCGTGACGGCAAGACGTACGACGATCTACTCCGCCACGTGGGCAGCAAGCACCGGGTGGTGTTGGTCATCAGCCACGGCGCACACCTCTTCGGGTGCTACGTCCATGAAGGCCTCCAGCCGCCCCAGAACTCCAGCAGCAAGCACAGCTACGCCAGTGTGGTGTGGTGGTTCTCCCTGGCCGGCGGCCACTTCGACACCCCCACCAAGGTGCTGGTCCAGGACACAAGAACGGGCCATGATAATGATGCCGATGCTGAGCGCAGTGCCGTCAGTGTGTGTGTGGCTGGTGACAAGTGCGTCCGGTGCGGCGACGGGGCGTGCGTGTCTATCGGATGGCTGTGTCTGGGGTGGGGGGGGCGCTGGCGGCACGTGTGAGGCCGACATCCGGCGCTGTTTTCAGTGCCCGCCGAAACGGTGCTGGGGCGACGCGGATGACTGGCGTGACGCCGTCTTCACGGCTGATGAAATTCAGGTTGTGGCGGTGCAGTAGAATGGCGGGCGGGGGCTGGGGAGGGGGGTATTGTACATAGATCGCATCGACAGCGGAGGGAAAGTGCCATGGCACCACCTGACGAGAGTGTCGTTCTCCTCCATCTGGCTATTGTCATTCATTCATTGATCCATTCATTCGTCCAGTGTGGGTGAGTGGATGTACTACAGTGGTTGGTGGGGGTGGGGGCGGCTTCTGTGTGAGTTGAGTGTGTGTGATTGTGTGAGTGTGTGTGATTGTGTGAGTTGTGTGTGTGTAAGGTGTCATGTGTGAGTTGCGTGTACATAAATAACACCATCTCAGAGATGACTGTCAGACTCCCAACGAATAAAAATCTCCCTTGCAATACAAATACGGCCACACTCACTGAACAGACAGTGGCCGGGCGGGAAAAATGACAGCAAGCTGCCCTCTCAAGCGGTCACCACACGTCTGTCTGTCTACTCAAACACCCTCACATATGCACAGCACGCAACTACACACACTTTCAGAAACACACACACACACACGAGACGCATCTATCCCTCTCCGTCTCTGTCTCTGCCACGCACTCTCAGACACCGCCACAGAACACAAAAACTCATTCATTCACTTATTTATTCGTCGATCATCTCGACTTCTGTGACGGCCGGTGGTGCGACGGTGGGGTCGGGCGGGTAGCGGAAGAGCCAGTCACGGAACCTCTCCAGCTCTGCCAGGTGCTCGTCCAGACGAGCCTGCCCGCCCTTGACCAACTCGTTGCCCCGCTGGATCAAACCAGACTGAAGACAGACACACAACATAAACACAGAGGGGGAGAGCTGGTGCGGGTGAAGGGGCGGGTGGGGGCGAATGTACCTTGGCGCAGAATCTTTGCACGAGTGTGGCGCGGTGGACCCGCATCTCCTCGTACTCGCGGACAGCCGCCGGCAGGAGGGCGTTCATCTCTGTGAAGCACATCGACATCGCAGCACATCAACTCAGCTAGCTCACCATCAACAGCACAGCACAGCAAGGAAAGCCGCCCGCCTCACTCACATAACATACACAAGAGAGAGCGTCCCAGTACCTGCCGACTGGACCTTGTCAGCTCCGATGTCAGCGATGATCTTGTCGATGGCCGCAGTGAGGCAGTGCACGTCCTGATTGGTCAGATCGACACACCGACCAACACACACAACACGCCGTGTGTGTGTGTGTGTGTGCGACTCGGTCGCTTGGCTTGCCTCAAAGGTCTGGTTGGCGCCCTGGCCTGGATCAGGGTGGGGGGCGTGCGCAGCGTCACCCAGCAGCACCACACGACCCTACGCACACACACGCGCACACACATTGAAAGACAGGTGCAATGCAGACACATCACACAGCAGACACAAGACACAAACAAGGGCATACAGACTTACGGAGGGTGTGCTCCACTGCTTGAGTGCCTTCCTCGCGTAGATGCCTCTCTGGTAGATGCGGCTGGCGGGGGTGGCCTTGACGCAAGCCACGATGTCGGCCACCTGACGCGGCACCTCCTCGCCCTTCTCGCCACCCCCTCCAGCTCCAGCAGCACCGCCACCGCCACCGCCACCGCCCCCTCCACCACGTGTGAGGTAGGCGATGACCTCCTCCTTCAGCCCCGCCGCACCGATCTTGCCGCGGCCGTCGAAGTGCCACGCCTCCACACGCACCTGCACATTGACACACACACAGACATACACACACAGACATACATTGTGGTGTGGTGGGGTGGGCTGGGCTGGGATGGGTAACAGACCTGCCAGAAGGTTTGGCCGTGTCCGCATGGGCACATGATGCAGCTGAGCGGCGGGTCCTCGACGACCAGCTTGACCAGCTCGTGGGGGGCGTGCACCGGCTTGGTGGGGGAAACGATCGACTGCACACACGAAAATTTCGCCACGTGCGAGTGCGTGTGAGAGTGTGTGTGAGAGTGTGTGTGTCTGTGTCTGTGTCTGTGTGTTGGGGGAGGGGGAGGGGGGGAAGGTGCTCACGGATGTATCGACGATGGCGTTCCAGTTCTTCTGGCCTGTTGGATGCATTGCATTCGATGGCATGACATGGCTGGGGAGAGAGATGCAAAGCAAAGCAGCGCATACGTACCGAAGAATATGGGTGAGTCTTCCTCTGGCGGCAGCCCCGTGATGCGCCTGCGCAGCGTCGAGAAGGCGCCGTCAGCCACCACCACCAAGTGGGCCCTGGTTGAGAGACAAGATACACACACGCAACTCACTCACCCTTGACACACAAAACACTGTTTGTGTACTTGCCTGACGGTGTAAGTGTCAGGCTGCCCCTGGAAGCGCACAGTGACCTCGGCGCCCTCCTCTGTGAAGTCCCGCCCGCCGTGTGAGCAGTGGATGGCCTCCTTCGGACACAGAGACGCCAGGTGGTTCTGATGCACCCACCGGCCCCAAACGAAGGACACACACATGATGCCAGGCCATGCTGCCCCATCCCATACCCACACACAGGCACAGGCATGGCACCTGAGCGTGTGTCCAGGGGATGATGACCGAGGCTGACTGGTACTGCTGCTCGAACAGGCCAAAGTCGCGAGAAGAGGCCGTCTCCTGAAGGAAGGCACAGACACACAACACGCACGAGCACAGAGAGGGAAACACAACCAACAGGCGTCTGTCTGTGTGCGTCGGTCGCTCCCTGTGTGTGTGTGTGTGTGTGTTAGACTCACTCACAGCCAGACAGACTGACTTACCGTGCCGTCGGCCTTGCGGAGCTTGTGGACGCAGACGGGCTTGGCGCACCCCGACTTCTTGAACATCTCCACCACTTGAGGAATGGCCCTCTCTAAGGCGCGCATGCCGTTGGGGTAGCAGTGGAACACACCCTGGCCACATACACACACACACAGACAGAAACATACACAGACGCGCACAAAGGTGCAGGTGGCTCTGGTGTAGGTGGCTTGGGTCGATGGCTTGCTTACCTGCGACTGGTATCTCAGGTCAGGCGCCCTCTCAAACACGTGTGCATCCAGCCCTCGAGACCTACACGCAACACACACAAAGACACCCATCCATCCCTCTCCCTCCCTCCCTCCCTCCGACAAGTAAGTAGTACTCTCTATTCACCTGAGGGCCGCCCCGAGAGCGAGCCCCCCCAGACCGCCCCCAATGATGGCCACCTGCACAAAGGCCGGTGCCTTCACGCCCTCGGGCACCATGACGTGCTGCGAGGGGGCGCTGTAGTAGTAGTCACTGGGGGCCGCGTCGGTCGATGGCGATGGGGCGGGGTGGTGTGGCTGTAGGTGTGCTGGTGTGGAGGGCTGGGTGGATAGGGGGAGGGAGTGGAGGTAGCTCAGCACCTCGCTCTCTGACTTCACTTCTGCGTACTTTGCCTGCACGCACACACACACACACACACACACACATGGATGGACACACATAAAGGACAAAACAGGTGTGGCTTGCCTGCAGATCGAAGAGGCTGGCGTCATGCACCTCCTGCCGCCTATCCCCCACGGCCTCCCGCACCACCACCGGCACAAAGCCGTGCTGCAGGCAGTCGGTCGCCGTGGCGCGGATGCAGCCACTCGTCGACACGCCACATATGATGAGCGTGTCCACACGGAGGGCACACAGCGAACTCGCCAGAGACGTCCCGAAGAAGGCGCTCGCGTAGTTCTTGACAATCACCACCTGTGCACACACACACAGGTGGCAGAGAGGAAGATGCTCACTCACTCAACGATGTGCATGTGTGTGTGTGTGTGTGTGTGTGTGTGTGGTGCCTACCCACCTCTGTGGGCAGTGGCTGCAGCGCCTGCGGGAACCGTCCCAGAGGGTTGCCCTTGACGAAGCACTTGAGAGCGGGCACCTTTCGGAAGAACAGTCCGCCACTCACGCCCCTGTCGTCATACTCACTACAACGTACACACAAACGTACACAAAAGACAACCGCCATTCATTGCACTGCACTGCTTGCCTCTCTCTCTCCGGCCATGGCTTGGCTGCCTACACAGTGGTGTGGAAGACCGGCACGCCCGCCGCCCTGGCCTCCCTCAGCAGCCGCTGGCACGAGTCCAGGGCCCGCTCGGCGAGCGCCCCGGCGTACAGCGGCGATGAGGGCAGCAGGTACGCTTCCACAAAGTCGACGATGAGCAGCGCCGGACGGCTGCCCACAGGCAGATGCCCGTCGAACGCGCCCTTGTAGTTGGCTGTCAGCTCGGTGGACATCGTGATGGCGGGAATGTGGCAGATCTGCTGCAAGCTGAGCTCGCAGGCGAAGGGGTCAATCTCTTCTCTCAGATCTGCGTCGTCTGACTCATCGATCTTGAAGATGGCCGGTTGCTTTAGTCGCCTCAGGTGGTTCCCACAACATCTCTCACCATCGTCTTCCAGGGCCATCAAAGTCCCGCCACCACTGCATCGACATGCCAACAGGTTTCTCGCCACGGCAGCAGCAGCAGCACCATCAGCATCAGCAGTTGATTCATCATCACTACCACCACAAGCAGCAGGACCACAGACACAGACAGCAGCATCAGCAGCCCCGCCCCCTCCACCTCCTCCTCAGAGCGACAGTGAGTTCCTTCCCCGGCTGCGCAACATCGGCATCTTTGCGCACATCGATGCGGGCAAGACGACCACCACCGAGAGCATCCTCTACAACGCCCAGGTCATCCACACCAGAGGGGCGGTGGACGAGGGCACCGCCGTCATGGACTTCATGGAACAGGTAACAGGCCACTCAGAGTGGCACTCACAACACGGCAACACGTCCCCCTCTCTCTCTCTGTGTGTGTGTGTGTGTGTGTGTGTGTGTCTGTATTGGATATACAGGAGCGTGCGCACGGCATCACGATTCAGTCGGCGGCCACGACGTTCATCTGGCAGGACTGCAAGATCAACCTCATCGACACGCCGGGCCACGTCGACTTCACGGCAGAGGTCGCCCGTGCTGTCCGTGTGCTCGACGGGGCGGTGGTGGTGCTCGACGGCCAGCGGGGGGTGGAGCCGCAGACGGAGAACGTCTGGCGACAGGCCAGCGAGGCCATGCTGCCGAGGGTGCTCTTTGTCAATAAGATGGACAAACCCGACGCCAACCTGGTTTGTCGAGGGGGTGGGGGGCTTGATGCCTGTGGTTGTAGTTGTGATTGAGATGTCACGGTGGCGGTGTGTTCGTGTGTTCGGTCAGGAGTACAGCGTGTCGAGTGTGTCGAGCCGGTTTGGGTGCAGGCCTGTGGTGCTGGTGGCGTCGGTGCCATTCGACAGTGGCCCTGTCGATGCGCTCGTCGACCTGTTCGACTTTCAGGTAGCCAGCCACCCACACACAGGACAGGACCTTCCTTCTCTGTGGTGTGATGTATGTCTGTCTGTCTGTCTGTCTGTCACACAGGCGTACCGTTATGAGGCCACAGGGGTGCTGAATCGCACCAGGAGGGCGGACACACCATTGCCCAAGCAGTGGGACACCTCACAGCAGATTCCAGACGCACTGGCGCCATTCAAGATCACACAAATAGCGCTGCAGGTGAGATGAGAGAGTGGGCGAGAGGGAGAGACACTGAGCGGGGGCTCATATCCTCACCTGTGTGTGTCTGTGTGCGTGTGTGTGTGTGTGTGTGTGTGTGAGAGTTTAGCGTCTGGTGGATCAGAGGGTTGAGCTGCTGGAGACGGTTGCGGACCTCGATGACGAGTTCGCTGAGCTATACCTCATGTATGTGTCTGTGGATGCATCGACACACCGCACAGACAGATGCGCCGCCATACTTGCAGGGGGCTCTCTCTCTGTCTCTCTCTCTGTCTGTCTCTGTGTGTGTGCCAATGAGTGCAGGAGTGACAGCTCCCCGCCCCGCGAGAAGTTCGACCAGGCCGTCAGACGTATCACGCTCAAGCACAAAGGTCGGCTACCATCGCCACCCCCCCACCCATCCCTCCCTCCTTCCCTCCCTCCCTCCCTCCCTCCCTCCTCAGGTGTGCCTGTGTACTGCGGTTCTGCCTTACGCGACTGGGGTGTGGATCTGCTGCTCAACGGGGTGGTGACGTGCCTGCCCTCCCCTTTGGACAGGACGCCCCCCCGTGTGCGGCCGTACAATCCCACCACACACCTCAGTGTGTCGGGGGAGAGGGACAGGGACAAGGACAACAGGCTCAAGGTCAAGGGGCTGGTCAGCGCGCTGCCGACGTGTATTGGGAATGACCAACGGGTACGTGCCTGCCTCAAGTGGGGGTAATAAGGGGCGGTTGAGGGAGGATTCCTCAGTGCGTGTGTGTGTGTGGGGGCACGTGTGTGTGTCAGGTGTTGGTGCAGACGAACGTGAGTCCCTGTGCGCTGGCCTTCAAGGTCATGTCGGACAAGAAGGGCGGACAGCTGGTCTTCTGCAGGGTCTACTCGGGTCTGTCAGTCAGTCCCACCATCGATCCCAGCCCCCCACACGCCTACGGAGATCCTCCCTCCCTCCCTCCCTCCCTCCCTGCCCTCTTCGTAGGTGTGTTACGTGAGCGACAGCACCTGTACAACGCCACTCGCGGCGTCAAGGAGGCCATCACACGCATCTTCAGGGCACATGCCGACCGCTTCGACAAGACCAACGCTCTCGCCGCAGGTAGGGTAGGGTAACCAATCAACACCTGCATCCACCCATGGATATATGGATGGACACGCCCAGCTGGCCACACGTGGAGTGGATGGATGTCTGTGGCGTATGTGTGTGTGTGTGTGTCATCAGGCGACATCGGCGTGTTGCAGGGCTGCCGGCAGACGCTCACGGGCGATACTCTGCACGCCCTGACGAAGCCGGTGGAGCAGTCCTTCTATGTGCTGGAGCACACAGGCACCGAGTGGGACCCACAGCCCGTCGCCTTTGCCGCTTTTGAGACCGAAAACGGTTGGTTTGTGGGCTGGGTGGGATGTGCGTGTGGGTTGGTGAATTTATGGGTGCAGTAAGTAGCGGTGGCGGATGGTCCTTGTGTGTGTGTGTGTGTGTGTGTGTGTAGCCAAGGATGAGGAGAGGCTGCAGGTGGCGCTGAGGGAGCTGACGCTGGAGGACCCTTCTCTCCAGTTCCATACCGACGTGCAGACCGGTCGGTCAGTGAATATGCGAAGAGACGCAGAGTGACAGACATGGTGTGGTGTGTGGTTGTGGTTGTGGTTGTGGTTGCGTGTTTAGGTCAGTATCTGATGTGGGGCTTGGGTGAGCTGCACCTGCAAATCGTCAAGGAAAGGCTCGTGGCCGACTGCGGTACGGGACAGGCAGGAATGGCATGCCGCATGAGTGAGTGCATCCTCCCCTCCATTATGTGTGTCTATGTGTGTGTGTGTTGCTTGCTTCATCCACACACACATACACACACATACACACACCACACAGGTCTGAGCGTCAAGATGGGCAAGGTGGAAGTGGGATACAAGGCAAGCAGCCATCCATCCATCCATCCATACGGCTCTTCCTCTCTCTCTCTCCCTCTCTCTCTCAGGAGTATTTGGAGGAACCGGCGAGTGGCTCGCTGGTCGACCAGCTCACACAAGGAAGTACGACACTCCCACACCCACACCCACAGGAAGAGAGAGAGGCGCATCGCATCCACACAGCAGCCAGGTTTTGTGCATCCGCCCATCAATCAGACCGGGCCGCGTCAGTGGAGATCAGCCTGCGTCTGGAGCCGCTGCCCCTGCCGGACCCCTATGAACTCAGGGAACCACCAACCTCCACCTCTCCCTCTCCCTCTCCCTCTCCCTCTGACGACACCACATCCACACAGGCATCATCGGCTGATGAACATGGTGCAGACGTGGCGGCCGAGATAAGCATGGCCCCACTGAGCGAGGCTGCATACGCCAGCCAAGTGGGCACGCACAGAGAGAGAGACAGAGAGAGAGATCGGGGCCTGGTGGCTGGTATGTTGAATGGTGTGTCTTTAGGTGAGTGTGGAGGTGAGCCCGCTGTCGCGCGAATCGCTCATCGACGTCCCCGGCGACGCGCTGGAAGGTGATTGACTGACGGGATGGGATGGATGTGTCAATGTGTGTGATGGGAACGCACCCCATCTGCCCCTGGTGTGTACTGCAGCTGCCGAGAAGACGTTGAGCGATGCGCTGAGCTCGGGGCCTCTCCTGGGATACCCAATGGTGTCACTGCAGGTATGTAGCAGACACACCCAGACACACACATGGGGTGCTGTCTTGGGATGCATGCCATGCAGCCGTGGGTGTGTGTGTGTGGAGTGTAGGCGACGGTCGATTCCATCAAGTGGAACCAGTTCTCCACCATTGGAGGTGAGATGACACACAAGACGCTGCTGCACCATCTCACCTCTGCTTGCTGTCGCTGCTGGCTGTGTGGCAGCGGTTCGTTCGTGTGCCGCCAAGCTGTTCCGGAGCCTGGTCAAGGGCCGGTCGGTGAGCCTGCTGGAGCCCCTGATGAAGGTCGAGGTGGTCACACCCGACACACACCTCGGCAGCATCCTCTCAGAACTGGTATGCACGTACGTGTCATGACGCCGATTCTGATGCACACGGAGAGCGAAAAGCGCTGTGTGTGTGTGCGGTTGCGGGATGGATGGATGGATCTGGGGTTCAGACGAGCTTCCGCCGAGGTCACATCGTGTCGGTCTCGACGTATGAGGACCCCCTGGCGAGCAGGAAGACCACCACGACCGCCTCCTCGTCGCGATCGGACGCTGTGAGGCTGTCCAAAATCAATGCTGTGGTACGGTACGGTGCCGCACGCCAGCCAGCCATCCAGACAGACAGACACGCCGACGGATGGATGGATGGATGGGTACAGGTGCCCCTGAGCACGCTTGAGGGCTATTCAGCGGTGCTCCGGTCCAACAGCCGCGGGACTGCCCACTTCACCATGACCCCCCACGGCTACGCTCCAGTGCCCGAAGACCTAGAGGAGCAGGCACGTACCCCTCCCCTACCCTCTGCCCCCCGAACAAACCTCACCACACAGACCTACCTTCATTCTGTCTGTCTGTCCGTGCACCGCGATGCAGATCCTGACTGAGGCACGTGGGCTGCGCAGCTTGGGTCTCCCGTCAGAGAGGGAGAGGGAGAGGGAGGAGGCTGCAGAAGAAGGAGAGGAGGGAGAGGAGGGAGAGGGTAAGGTTGAGGAGGGGATGGTGTACCTGGAGGGCGAGGAGCACGGCACCGTCATCGTCGAGGAGGACGAGCAGCTCAAGTGGTCCTCAAAGGCGCTACACCAGGACACTCACCCAGGTAGGGTACACAGACAGACAGACGCGCAGAAATGCTAGCTGCCACTGCAGCCGGACGTGTGTGTACCTGACCTGCGATTGTCTGTGCCTCGTCTCTCATGCAGAGCGGACGGAGGGCCATGGAAAGGCGCACGGACGGTCATCGGAGAGAAAGCTCTGATATATCGATGTCTATCGTGATCGAATAGATAGATAGATGGACCGACCGGCGCCGCATTTTCGTCGTGTGTGTAGTGTAGTGTGTCTTGCAAGGCAGCCGGGCCAGCTGCTTAGGCAGCTCGATAGGTCAGACAGGATGGCAGTAGCTAGTTGTGCCGCCATGTTATCTATTGGTCATGCAGTTAGCCGTGTTTGGTCTTATGTCTCTCTGCCGGTATACAGACATATATCGGTCAGGACAGCGGCGGCAGCCAGGCAGGAAGGATCTGTTGTGTGTTTCTTGCGTGCGTGTATGTGACGCAGCAAGCAATGTCTGTATAGTAGCGAGTGCCTCAGGTGCGATCGCAACCATCCATCGGCCAAGACGAGCAACCGAGACGGATGATCTGCAGTGCATGCAGACGGGGGGCGTCCTCAACGCCCCCACCCAAAATACACTCCGTTGCTCGGCGCGACACGATGATGGGCCCCCCGACGGCTGCCGACAAGGCCAACACCGTCCCCATCCACATCAGGTCACACACAGATGAGGGACTGTCCTCCTCGGGTCTCTCTCCTTAAGACTGCCACTGCCTCCTGCATCTGCAGGGAGTTCCTGCGCACCAGCCACCCCGTCACATCGCCATATTGGTGTGTAGTTACATGGCCTGGGCTCATCTGCAATGGTGCGTGTCATGCCATCTGCAATGGCTGCAGGTGGCGAAGCCCGTCCCCTGGCGAGGTACGTCGTAAGGCTGACGAGGAGCGGCCCGCCACGCCGCCTCCCCCACACCTCAAGGGCGTCCCGCGCTCAGGCGTCTTCTCACATCAGGCACGCCACACGTACACTAACAGTCAGGCGTCTCACGCGTGCCTAGCTGCCCTTCTCCCTCCCTCCTTGTTGCTTTCGCCTTCAACGTGCAGAAGTGGCCTCAGTACCTGACGACCTACCAGGTGGCGTACAGCCCCTTTGGACACTTCAAGCCGTGGGACGAGGAGAAACCTGGAAGCATCCCGGGATACAGGTGGGTGGGTGCGTCAGGCATATCATTGTGTTGATTGACGAAGGGAGGGAGGGAGGGATTGATGTCGCACAGGCATACTTGTGTGAGTGTGTTGATGTTGTTGTATGCAGTGGGTATCTGCCTGGCAAGGAGGCTGGCAATGTCATAGGGAAGACGTACTGCAAGGCGCGGGACGCCGCGATCGAGGGTCTGAGGAAGACGCGGCAGGCCATCATCTACCAGCAGCAGGACACCAATGGCGAAGACTGCTGACAGACAAGATGACCACACCCATCCATCACACCAGATCCATCCAGCTTTTGATGTACGTGTTGAGAGAGAGGAACCTGACTGGCATACACAGCACAGCACAGCGCGGCCATTGCTGCATCCACATGGCTTGAGTGAGACATGTATGTCGATCGCACCGCACCAGACCTGAGTGAATGAATGATCCAAGGTCCGTATCACACGACACGGCTGACACAGCACGACTCTACAACACACAACACACAAGACACAACACGCGTCGACTAAATGCGAGGAAAGGTCACCTGCTCGACTCGCTTCCTTGGCTGTCTGTCTGTCTGTCTGTCTTTCTGTCTATTTGATAAACAACACATGGATGCGCAAAAAACACGACACAAAAACCCGAGAAGGCAGGCAGGCAGGCGGCACACACTGCTCGCTGTCCTTTGCCAGGACGCGACGCGCAACCGCCACCCAGCCATCCATCCACCCATCCATCCATCCATCCATCTTGACAAATGACACACTCGACACACACACACTCGACACTTGTCATGTCACTCACACACAGACATCTCATAGCACTGCACACACATCACGTATCTAATTACGCAACCATGGCTAGGCTACCTGGCATCGATCACACCACACTTGCTGCTAGTGCTGCTGCTGCTGTGTGGAGCCTTTTGCCCCACAGGCACACGGGCAGCAGACGCCCTCGGTCTCTTGCTGGAAGAACTCTCGCAGCGGGGCGGGGGTGAACACGCCACCCTGACCCTTGCCCGTCATCTCCTCATCTACACAACACACACACACACAATCTGCTTGTGTGTGGGGGGGGGGGAGGTGGTCTGACCCGCGACAAAGCACTGCAGGATGGTGTCGACAGAGATGGCAAACACGTCGAGCACCTCACCGCCCACCACGAAGCCCGCGAAGCATCCCAAAACAGTCGGGCCGATAGGCGACGACAGCCGCGCGTCATAGATGCCGACAGACGAGAAGAAGCCCACAACCTGAAAGCACCCACACACACACACACACACATCCAGAGTGTGTCCACCTTCTTCTCTGATTTGCCCACCCCGGCAGTGAGTGTCATCAACACGAGGCCCAGGAACCGCATCGCAGGCACCATACCGCCCAGCGCCGCAATCCGCCCAGCATTCCGCAGCACCAGCGTGAAGGCACTCCAGGAAGACTGACAGAAGTTCTTGCCGACCAAGGCCACCTGAATGTACGCTTTCTCGGACAGAAACTTCACAAACTTTTCGAAGCAGGTCACGGCATAGCCGAGGCACGACAACACGCCGATATAGGCCCTGTTCATGGCAGTCACGTTCGAGCAGAGGCCACCGATGCCGCAGCAGCAGAGGTGCTTGCACGCCTCTGTGGGGTGGTCTCTGGCCCACTCCGTCTGTGCGGCCAGCCACGCCAGAATCCACTGAAAACACCACACACAGAGAGATGAGAAACGCATCCATGGGTGCCGACTGGATCATTGTCACCTTGACGAGCTGCACAACGGCGAGGACGAGGCTGCCGAATGCGATGCTGCCCATGTGGTAGACGATGCTCCAGCACAGCCACCGACACACGGCGCCCTGAGGATGCCGCTTGCCGTTCTGGTTGGGGGTCGTGAAGTACCAGGTTGCGCACACCCCCGCCAGCACCACCTGACGTGGGTGACACAACAAACACAGAGGAGAAGGAGAATATGAACCATTCGTTGGAAGGAAATGGCTGAGGTGGTGAGGGAGGGTGAAGGGAAGGCATATTGCCTGGTTATAGCCCATGAGAAAGGCGTTGTTCCACAAGAGAGAGAAGAAGTGGTAGATGAGGGAGTACTGAGTCTCGCTGCTCCAGGAGAAACGCTTCCCCTACTCACAGACACACACAGACAAACATACACACACAATGGACCACCACTGCCCACTTCTCTCTCTCCTTGTTCGTCTGTCTCACCTGTTCTGATTCGGCTTCAGTGAGTGTGCTCATGGTCCATGCCGCAACAGCGATCCAAAAAACGTAGTACACACAGGTAATGATGCCGACCACCAAAGGCACAAAGAGCACCGTTGGGGTGTGGGCCACAAAGAGCGCGGCGGACTTGATGACGGCGATGCCCAGCTGGATCCGCTCACACAGGCACAAGACGATCAGGATGAACAGGGCTCCCAGCGCTGAACGAACGAGGGGGGCGCACAGCACATACACACCGACGACAGGTTGTTGAAGGGATGATGCGTTCCTCTGTGGCCTTTTCGCTTTCTCTTACCCCATAGCACATAGCTGCAGATGGTGAGGCTCCTCTCGTAGTACCCCTCCTCGATTATCCTGCCCGTCCACATGCACACACACACAATCCAAACACGTCACCGGCTCTCCGCTCTTTCTCTCTCTCTCTCTGTGTGTGTCGGCGTACGGGGCGTATACGAAGGCCGCAGCTCCCGCCACGACGAACAGGCCCACTCCTATCACAATACTCATCCACACCAGCAGCCCCGCGCAGTACCGAAGCATCACCAGGAACACCATCCTACACACACACACACACACACACACACAGAGAACAGCACACAAAACACACCATCCTCCACCTGTCTGCCCTCCCGTCAGGTCGTGGTTTCTCACCCGCTGACGAGCGCAGCCGCCGCACAGATCAGAGGGACGGGCCAGGCGATGGTCACGTCGGCCATGACGTTGTTCCAGGACGACACAAGGTCATTCGGCAGGTAGTCCGTCAGCTTCAGCAGTGCCGCTGACACGCTGCTGGCGAGGCCGCCCTCCCTCTCAGACACCGTGGCAGCTCCTGCTGCCGAGGCTGCTGTAGCGTTGGATGATGCATTGGACTTGGCCAGACGGGGGAAGCAGTACCGATCCACAGCTGAATCAACACACACACACACACACAATGCTGTGCGGGACGGACGGGCAATCCCGCTCACTTTTCGCCATACCTTCGCTGGTGTCCGATTGGACAGGGACGCAATACTGTGGCTCGTAGGGGCAGATGTCCTCGGACAGCGCCGCCAGCTCGACGGTGACCCTGTCCTGCTCCACCACTGCCGTGCGGTTCATGACTGCCGGCACCGATGAGTCCCGACACGGCCGCCTTGTGCCGATGCGGTCGACCTCATCGCCCGTGAAGCAAGGACATGCTGACACACACACCGGCCGGAAGTACCTGCGACCAACATCTCAAATCTCATCTCGATGCATCAAACCACACGTGCACAGAGCCATGACGCTCCCTCACCTTGAGAAGTGCTTAAGCTGGTCAAGGAACTGCCACCTCCCCGGTGTGTCGGCCACCTGCTGCAGGCCGGATAAGTCAGCCGAGTCGAAGCTGTCGAAGTCAAGCGTGTAGTAGAGCAGTCGCGAGTCGCTCTTGGCCGACGAGGGGAGGCCGCAGAAGTTGCCGGCGTAGTCCCGGCCGGCGAACAGCCTGTTTGGGTTGCCGTTGGAGAAAGCGATGTACGCCAACACGATCACACCCGCCCAGTGCAACACTGCACACACAGACACAGACACAGACGCAGACACAAGCAGCAGGCATCATCGAAGGCGTGCCCAACAAGTGTGTGATCCATCCGTGCACGCAAAAGCAGCTTAGCTTACGGTAGAGTATGCAGAAAGGGATATCGCGCACTCTCCGCGTCCTCAGCGGTCCGTGTGACACATCGATGTCGGTGCCCTTGCAGAACTCCCGCCCAAGGTCATGCTTGACGCATGGCAGTGCAGCTGCCCTTGACCGCAGGTACTCCTCGCCACTTCGGCTCCTGATCCCTCCTGCGGGAGCCGGTGGTGGGTCCACCATCGCGGCCACTCACAGATTTCGAGGAGATCTGTCAGAGGCTTTGCATCGGCAGAAGATCAGTCTTCCTGGGACGCCCTTCGTTTCGTGCACTCTATGCGAGCTCATCGGTTTTGCAGCAACGGTTTCGGTTGCCCCCTAGGCAACGTTTCTTTTCGGCGACCCGAAGACGCACTAGCGGATCTATCGTACACGAGGCGCTGGACGCCTTTGCGGTCGCGGGCGCCGTGCGCCGGCCCATCGACATTACAGCGACGATGAGGTACATCACGAGGCAGCATATATGGCACGCTGCATCTGGTCAATACATGCCCTCTGTGCTATTATGCAGGTCACGTTGAGATCATGGCATCTTCGTCCAGTGCCAGCGGTCCGGCTGCGCCGTCACCATCGCCATCGCCAGCCCCTCACGCCACCACCCTCCCTCACCGGCGGCATGCAGTCATCCAGAACCTCAGCAGACGGGTGTCCCCTCCAAACAGCAGCCCCGCCAGTCGCAGCCTCGCAGCTGCCGTCGAGCGACGCATCATCAGAGATGCAGCCACGGCCCTCCGACAGGGCGCTGACGCCAACGTGAGGGTGCTATACCAGCCACCCCATGAGCACTATCCCGCGCTGAGCTACGACCTCCTCAGTAGTGCCATTCCTCGACCCAGAGAGCGACGACCAGACCGGCTGTGCGGCGGTTGATGGAAGGTTGTCGGTATGCTCGCCACACTGTCAGCCGCCCCGGTCTCGCCTGTCGCTGCCCACGTGGGCGACGCGAGAGGCGCAGCGGGAGATCCTCGAGACACTCATCGCTGGAGGGGCAGATGTGAATGGGCCTCCTGAGGGGGACGATGCGACGACAAGGCCGATCCGTGCGGCCGTGGTCAATGCCAACGCGACGGCACTGGAGGTCCTGCTGCAGCATGGCGTGAGGGTCACTGCACAAATATCATATCGGCGATCTGCACTCAATCAATCGAGTCGTCGTCGTGGATGTCGTCCTCGTCACTCTGCACAAAATGATGTGGACGGATGAAGGGAGGGAGGGAGGGAGGGAGGCAGGGCCACTGCATCATCTTCGTGCCCGGCCTGCCGAAGACGCCGACGCCTGAGTTCGAGGATGCTCTTCTGGGCGTTTGTGGTCGCCTGCTGAAGCACGACCCGACGCTGGCAAGCGAATGGGTGCCGGAGTCAAGACCTCCTTCGGTGAGTGACAGAGCACGGGTAACGGGAGGCACATGCACTGCACTGCACTGCACTGCCTGTGTCTGTACCTTTTTCTTGTGGGCTGGTTTTCATTCAGGAAGAGGATTTCCTTGATTTCGAGGCTGAGCCTTGTGACTATACCGGTCCGCCCTCAGAGGTCGGTAACAACGCCGTCCACCATCTCGTCGGCACCAATTGCTTCTCGCGAGACTTCGTGGTCAAGTACCTCGACATGCTCACGGCCATCGACCCATCCATCCTCACCGACTGCAATGAAGCCGGCGTGACGCCGCTGCAAGTGAGGCGTCGCTCTCAAACACATAGGGATGCACTGACACGCATTAAGCACAACAGGAATGGCCTGTGTGCAGGTTGCGGCTTGGCAGGGGTACGAGTATTCACGGAGCCCCAACATCCACGCCATCGAGCACATCTGCCGGCAGGTCGAGCCAGCGCATGTCGAGCACGACGGTGATCATGGTATCGCACTCGTGTGGGCCGTCAAGACGCTCACCGGCCGGGAAGCATCGCAGCCCAGTGTGCGGGACGAGGGCCTCATCAACGAGTGGAGGCAGGCCGTCAGGACCCTGCTGCGGTGGGGCACAGCTGCGGCCCAGCTCCAGCATCTCGCCGGACAGTATGACATCGAGCCACAGCACCTCGAGCTCGTTGATCGCGAGTACACCGCTGTGCTCAATGAGCTGCTCCAGGAGGTGATGGCCGTCGCCAGTGGAGCCCTGCAGCCGAACATGGAGCCGGCGGCACAAGGCATCAAGGAGAGGATCAACCTGACCGACAAGACCACATTCGGCAAGCGCATCCACATGGCCATGCAGCACTTCTTGACGAGTGCCGCCGCCACCAAGACGGCCAGCCACTGCAGCGAGGTGATGGGAGAGCCCCCCAGCCACGACGAGCAGGAGCAGGAGCAGGAGAGGAAGCGCGCCAAGGTCTCCGTCCCTTCGCGGCAGTGCTTCGTGGTGCGCGGCGTCAACTCCCGGCGGTTGGGTCTGCATGAGGTGGTGCACAGGGCGATAGTGGATGAGGCGGCCGCATGCGGCCTGAAGGGCCTCGACCAGCCCGGGGTGGGGGAGTGACATACAGATAGGGCTGGGCACACTCAAAGGGCTGCATCCATCCATCCATCCATGCACCCGTGTTTCTTTTTGTGTTGCAGGGCGACGCCCTCTGCCAGTTTGCGTTGCCGGAGTTGGGGTACCTCGACAAGCACGGCAGGTTCCAGTCGCTGCAGATCGAGTAGAAGAATGACAGACTCTCGTGTGTAGCGTGCTTAGTAGGGAGATGGTCAATCGCTTTTGGTCGGCGGCCGCACTTTTGCGATACGGGCACACACAGCGGTTGCGAGCGTCGCCTTTTCCGCCACACTAGCTCGTCAGATGGCTCGCAGCGGGAATCTCCTCTCCTCGTCGTTACCAACCTCTGTTTTCCCTTGGTCAGCCGCCAAGGCGGAGCGGAGGTTGGTGATGCAGGCGGGGTGGGGGTCTCAGCTTTGGCCGGGATGGTTATAGCCTGGCGATACGATCGGTTGTGTATCTGTAGATGTGTGTGTGTATGTGCAATGACTGATGAGTGGGAAATATAACCGATGTCCTGTCTGCGTGGCGTCTGACCGACTGACTGCGTGTGAATATATAGCTCAGTAGAGACTTATCCTCTCCCATTTCATGCATACAGGCTGCGGGCTCAGCCTCTGAGGTCAATTTGCCCAGCCCAGAAATGAATCGTCAATGTCAGATCAGTGAGTGAGTGTCGTAGGAAGAGACACAACGCACACACACACACGCGACAAAAAGTGCACGCAGGCCACACACAGAACTGACACAAGCCCTATCTGTATCTGTGTGCAAGGCTTAGCCCAGCTGGCTATGCATAGAGCAATAGTAGGGGTGAAAGCGACACGAAAGACAGACACAAGACCATCGCGGAGAGAGACAGGAGATGGCACAGATAGCAGCTGCCGCAGATGGACAGACACCTCTGCGGCTGGGCTGGCCAGCAGAGACAGATGCACACTGACCGTGACAGCAGCCGTGCTACACCTGGAAGGCTGGCAGCTGGCTCCTGCAGAGGTACACGACACACGACAGACACCAGACGACACATGCATGACGCAGTCAGTGGCCCCGCCCCCCATTCGCGTACCGTCGTCTCCTTGGGCTTTCTTCCTCCAAAGCCTCCTGCAGAGCACACAAGACAAGCAGGATTGCAGATGAGAGAGTCTCATCTGTGTGTGTTTGTTCGGTTGAGCTCACAAGTGCGCCCGGCTGTGCCTCGAGGTCTGTCTCGGCGGCTTCAGCCTTGGCAACGGCCTCCTTCAGCTTCTGAGCCTCAACGCGGCGCTTCATACGACGCCTGAGACACAGACAGACAGAGAGACAGACAGACAGACAGACAGGCAGAGACACACGATGGCTGAATCTAGGGATGAAAAGCTTGTGGTCTCTCTCTCTCTCTCTCTGTGTGTGTGTGTGTGTGTGAGTGTGTGTGTACCTCCTGGCGTGCCAGCAGCATGCGGCCATAGTGAGGATCAAGAAGGTGCCGGTGCCGACTATACCAATGATCACCGGCACTGCGTTCGTTGATGAAAATGGATAAAGCAAGCATGCGCAAATGGTCGACCGGCCTCCCTGCCTGTCCCTCTTCTCTGAGCTACTGTACCTGTGAAGAATCCCTCAGGGCATCTTCTCATCCTGTTCCAGATCTCCTCAATCGTGTTGTCGTCGTTGTCCGTTATCAGACAACCTGCACATGCACACGAAGCGACAGGATGACAGCGAAGAACGACTACATCAAACATAGTGTCAGAGCCTGCCAACCGTTCTCGCACGGCTTGCCCCCACGGAGCTTCTCGCACTCCTGCACGTATGACACAACGGCACAAGCAACAGAGGTGGATGGTAAGTGCATGTCCGCTTTCTCCAGTTTGCTCCGTCCGTCCGTTTGTCACCTTGACGACATCTTCATAGGTATCCCAAAAGGAGCTGTTGTGGCCTCGTACGGAGTTGTGGACCAGCTCGTGCAGCACGGTGCCGATCACCTGCTCGTACGGCACGAAGTCATCGTTGTTGAATCGCACCCGGACCTGACCCACAGCATAGAAATACCTGCAGCGGATGTGTGTGGCGTGTGCCTTCTTCCTGTGGGGCCAAGCCAGTACAAACCTTGACTTCCTCTCCCTGGTTGACATTGAGCCCCAGCAGTGACTTCTTGCTGGGCTTGAACTCGCGCATCAGATACACCGACCACTGACGATTGCACATGATGGGGCGCACCTGCAGAGAAAGCAACGAGGCCAACCAACCAACCAAACTGCAATCAATATGTGTGTGCACGCATCGATTTCTTCCCATGAGCTGACTGACTGACTGACCAGGTTGGTGGCGTCCCTGAGCATCTGCATGGCCTTGCGGTCGTTCCTGTACCCCTCGGTTTTGATCTCCCGCACCACATACGGGTCGCAAGACTCACTCAGCTCCCGCCACGCCCCACCTCCCGGATCTGAGTCACCTATCGTCCTCTGATCTTCAGCATCACATGTGCGTGCCAGCACCAACACTGCCGTCGCAAAAAGGGCCCTCTGCAGCAGCTGGGCGAATGCCGAGTGGCTTCTCCTTCTTCGACGTTTGTTTGGCTGCGGTTCATCGGGTGTTGGGGGAGTTGGGATGGCAGTGGGGGCCTCCACATCAGACACTGGGGAAGCGGGGGCTGGCCTGGCTTGACGACGGCGCATTGATTGCACCTCTCAGCTGAAGGGAACTGAAGGGAGGCGCAGCTCGCAGCGAGTGCGAGCTAAAGAGGGCAGATCTCCCGATGGCGAAAGAAGCGTCTGGGCCAACTTGAGGGCTGCCACGATGATGACGGGCCCTTGCTGGGCCAGATCCCTCCTCGCCCTTCTATTTTTGGCGACCGCGGGCTTCTCTGCCGCTTTCGTGCCGCACTCTCTTCCACGCGGCGGCTCCATGTCTGCATTCCCCTCCGCAATGCGTCGCCGCTCGGTCCGCATGTCGGCCGCTGCAGAGGTCGAACAGACGAACAGGGTGCGCCCACTGCAGGGCCTGGAGGAGGTGCAGGCAGCCATTGAGAAGGACAGCGGTGTCAACGTCATCTCAGTGGTGTTCATCCAAGCCAAGTGGTGCAAGAACTGCGCAGCCACGCGGCCCGTCCTCGAGGGGCTCGCCAAGGAGTGCGCAGAGGCCAAGACGCCAGTCAGCTTCTACTCCATCGACTTTGACGAGAGCAAGACAGCCATGACCGACATAGCACCGACCTTATCACGGCTGCCGTGGTGCCTCCTGTACGCCGCCGGCAGCGTGACGGCGTCAGAGAGCTTCGCGTGTGGCGAGTCGAAGGTTTACGGCGTGCTGAAGCCGCTGATTGACCTGTATTCCGGTCAGAAGGCTGGAGGGAGGGGAGGGGGTGAGTCGGTGGAGGTTGGTGTGACGCTCAAGCAGGAGCAGGAGAGCGAGCAGGAGCTGATGGAGGCGCTGAATGAGGTGTCGTCACCCGCTGTCACTAAGATGTTTAACGATCTTTACAAACCACAGCCAGGTCAGCCACATGAACACGAACCACACGTAACCATCCACCCCACCTGCCCATTTCTGCCCATCTGACAGGGAAGCGGATCATCGGTGGGCTGCTGCTCGACACGCCGAAGGACGAGCTCGAGAAGCTGCCGGACCCGTCAGAGCTGGAGGCCCTTCGCAAGAAGGCGGCATCAGATCTGATCAACATCGGCGCGGACGAGAGGCGGCGCCGTGCCATCGCCGGGGCGGCCTCGGCGCTCGCCACCCTGGCCATTGGGTTCGCCTGTGTGAAGACGGGTGCATCACCACTCGCCAGGTTTGGTGCCGTCATTGTGCCGACATTCTTCACGGTTGGGTTCTCGCTGAGCGCCAAGGAGGGCCTCTGAAACGTCGCGCAAGCAGGTCGGCCGGCGCACAGCAGTGACTGCTGATTGCCTGTGATGTGTCATCTGTGTGGTGTGGCGGTGTGTGTGTGTGTGTGTGTGTGTGTCAGGGCTTTGGGACATCGGCAACGGTCTCGAGCGCATTGACGACAAGAATGTCGCCAAGGCCCTGCTTGCGAAAGTCAACAAGATGAACGCCCAAGGGCTCATCTACTCGGCAGTTGCAGCTGCACTTTTTGCAGTGGTCCCGTTCCCCAACTAGATCCCACTTGACGAGGGAAATGGTCTGAGAATGAAGTGGCGAGAGTTGGGCGGCGTGACGCATGTGGCCGCTGTGCTATGGGGCCGACGAGTGAGGCGGGGGGCATAAAGTACGGGAGACGTACGTGTCCTTTGCTGAGAGGATGGCCCCGGGCGCAGATTGCCTGCTGCTGTCTGGCTCTCTCTCTCTGGGCGTGGAAGGCTGTTGTGTTGCAGTCAGTGTGTTGTAGTGCGGTTGGTGAGTGTCTGTACTTCCTTGCAAGGTTGTGCTGTGACAACAGACCCGTATGTATACGCTATCTGTTATGCGAACGGGTCAACGTGATCGTGTCAGTCCGTCGGAGAAGGTGCGAAAGGTGTCTGTCTGTCAAAAGGCGGCGGTGGCCAGCTACACCAGACTAGAAAAGCCTACACACATCCGTAAGTATCGACATTTGAGAACTCACACACACATGTCATGTCATGCACTCAGCAGCTGCGTACACACACCATTCGATTCATTACACAGGCAGCCGTGCAGACAGACTGACCAAGAACCCCACCCACCAAAAATACCGCAGCACAGTGCAGAAAGCTATTCACACATTCATTCACAGTCACACAGGCCGTGTTAGCAACCCACCCGCCCCACCCCATCCCACCCGCCACCATGGCATGCATGCATCAAAATCTTCAAAACCCGACAAACGGTCAAAACTGCTCCATCGGTCGGTCGCCCATCCATCCGTCCATCCATCCACATGTCGGTGGGCAGGGCAGCAACTGAGCTGCTGCTATACTGAGCGGCTATCAACACACAGCCACACACACGGCACCCATTCCATTCTCTGGCGCCTCTCTCACACGAACACGTCACCGAGGCCAGCTGTCTCGTCCCCGTTGTTGTATGTGTATCGTGTGTGTGGTGGCCGTGTGTCGTTCTTGTACGTCAGCACGTCGTGCCGCCGGTTGTATGTGGACGTGCCGTAGTCGCCTTTGACGTGTGAAAGCATGATCATGATGCCCATGACTCCCGCATAAGCCCGGTCCCGTTTGTAAAACACGCGCATGCGCATCTCGGTGTTGGCCGGGATGACACGCTCGCCCTCTTCGTAGACACACGGAGCAATCCGCGACACATACCTGATGTGACAGACAGCAACAAGGTGGGTGGGTGGATGTGTGTGTGTGTGTGTTGCGTGTGTGTATGGTGGTGTGTCCACCCACCCCAGCTCGTCTCCCGGTGCGTCTGGCTGTGTGCCATAGAGAGCGGGGGTGACGCAGAAGTCGTCACGTGTCTGCGGCAATTCCAGAGTGACGTTTATTGAGCCGATGTGGATGTGCCCTGATTGATACAGACAGACACACACACAGTCAGACAGACACAGAGAGTGCAAGGCCACCAACATTGCTGCCCTGCCGAGCTATGGCGTACCCCGGATATAGGCGATCTCCATCTCTCGTCCGGTGGTCATCGTGACCTCCTTCACATCAACACAGTCTGGCGAAGCATCGCCATCGCCCACTGCGCCACCCTCCAGGCCACGCAGCGCATTGACAGCAGCATCGGCATCATGATGTGTGTGTGTTTGGTGGCATGGCGGTACGTCATACTCGATGCGGCACTGGATGACATCCACCACGACCACCCGCACCGGCTTGGTCTCCGGCGTGATCCGCCCGTATGTCACGGAATACTTCAACCGATACTCCTGTGCACACACACACGGGGAGAGGACCATCGATGAAGGCACCCACACCACAGCAGGCTGCTTCGTGTATGGTGTTGTGTTGTGTTGTGGTGGTGCCTGCCTTCGGGTGCGGCCCCTGGCCGAAGAGGTTCTGGGGCCGTGGGGCGCGCAGGTGTGGCGGCACGGGAGGGCTGGGCTGCACACTCTCAGACACGAACGGGTCGTAATGCGTCACACAGTGGGTGCCGTCGGTGCAACACGCCACACCGCCAGTGGTGCCGTCTGCACGGCGAGAGAGAGAGAGAGAGATGGCCTGTCCGTCAACCATTCTTCATTCGTGTGGGCATCTCTCTCATCTCTTATGTACCTGGTTGGCAGTGACACTCGATGCAGGCCTGAACGTCCGATACGTTGTCGGTGCGCAAGATGTGAACGTTCGCCAGCCACACCTCATCGCCTGAACAATACCCCACACACACACCTAAGCTGCATTGCATGCCTCACTCGGTCTTCCGTGCAATGGCGACCCACCCACCTGATGTGGTGACGGCGTAGGGCGCTTTGAGCGTCACAGGTGTCCCACGCGACTCAGCACCTATGCCGAACATCTGTGGCAAGTCACGACACGGACCTGACAGAGCAATGGACAGCAACAAGCAAGCCCAATGAGTGACACACACGCCTGGCCTACACCACACCACACACACGTACCTGCGTTCGGCAGGAGGGTGGGTGGGCCGTGGGGGTCTGTACGGTTGGGTAGGATGGGGAAGACCAGCCAGTGGTGCAGATACACACTCGACAGCGGCACGGACGCATTATTTTCATCGACAATCTCAGCGTGGAAGCCACGGATGGCAAGAGGCCCTGCACAGAAGAAACACACACACACATTCAGAGGCCCATCTATGCTTTTCTGTGAGAGGGTGTGCATCTGACCTTTGGGCATCTTGAGAGTGGTCTCCCACGGCAGGCTGTTGAGCACATCGCCAGGCCGCAAAGAGAAAGGCCGGCTCACAAAGGTGTCGGTCACATCAGTGACATCACCACCACCACTATTCCCATCTTTGCTGCGTGTCGTCTCGTGCAGGTCGAACAGGAAACGGGGCGACGCCGACAGTCCCTGTGCTTCAATCTCCGACGCCGTCATGTGACCCGACGCCCCGGCAACCAGGAACAAAAAGACCAAGATGAAAGCAACCATCGCTCCCTCGCCGATGAAATGGATCAGAACGGTTCCGTAATACTGCAAAAACACCTGTTTGTGCCAAAGGATTTCCTACCTCATGCGAGCTCAAGCTTGCAGCGACAGAACGATTCGTGACTCTGAGATCTGATCTTGAGAGATTGCGCAGTCCTGGACTGCGCCAGTGGATGCTCTTGCGTCACACGAGAGCACCAGCCACAGCCACAAACGTTCCACCACCACATCTCCGCCTGACCCGCCCGCGTCAGATCTGCCTCATGGCGACCACAAACGGCACCGCCCCCGCACCCACAGCCACCGCCAGCAGCTCCACAGGCGGCCACAGCTTCGCCCGCCGTGACAAGCTTCTCAGCATCGAGAAGTCGGTCCAGCAGCTCTGGCAGGAGGGCGACGTCTACACCGAGAGTGCCCCGCCGGAGCCGTGGAGCGACCAGAAGAACGAGGAGAAGTTCTTCGTGACATTCCCTTACCCGTACATGAATGGCCGTCTGCATCTCGGCCACGCCTTCTCGCTCACCAAGGCGGAGTTCCAGGCACGGTTCCAGCGGACTCAGGGCAAGAGGGTGCTGTGGCCATTCGGATTCCACTGCACAGGTACGTGACGTGACGTGACGGCAGGAACAGCATGACATGGGTGGCGGGCTCACTGATGAATGAATGGTTCGCTCTATGCTATGTGTGTGCGAGTGGGTCCTTTCAGGCATGCCAATCGCGGCGTGTGCGGACAAGCTTAAGCGTGAGATCGTTGAGATGGCTGCAGAGAGGGAGGGGGCGAAGGAAAACGACTGCGAGCAGACCAACGGAGCGGCCGCAGCAGCAGCAGCAGCACCCGCGCCAGAGACCACCACTGATGGCGACCTGACCAAGTTCAAGGGCAAGAAGTCCAAAGCCGCCTCCAAGGCGGGCAAGGCGGTGCGTACACACACACGGAAACGGACACCCACGCACACAGAGAAAGAAGCACTTGCTGGTCATTGATGGGTTAATTCCATGATATTATGTGTGTGTGTGTGTGCAGAAAGGGCAATGGGAGATCATGGTGTCTATGGGAGTGCCCGAGAGCGACATCCCTGAGTTCGCCGAGGCGGGGCACTGGCTGCAGTACTTCCCCCCTCTCGCCGTCGAAGATCTCAAGATCTTCGGCATGGTAAATGAATGCGCCCATCCATCCATCCGCTGCGTGTCCAGTGTACCGATGTCAACATGTATGTGTGGCGTGTGCTGTCACCTGTTTGAACAGGCCGTCGACTGGCGGCGGTCGTTCATCACCACTGACGCCAACCCCTACTACGACGCCTTCATCCGGTGGCAGTTCAACAAGCTCAAGGTACCTACCTTAGATCTAACCCTTCTGAACAGCACTCATGGTGGATATGTGTGTGTGTGTGTGTGACAGGCCGCGAACAAGATCAAGTATGGCAAGCGCCATTCCATCTTCAGCCGTATCGAGGGCCAGCCATGCGCCGACCATGACAGGCACGCCACGAAAGCGCAACCACCCACTGACTGTCCCACCCATCCATCCATCCATCCACACACATGACATGCCAGCTGGTGTGGTTGGTGTGTGCCGCTGTGGTGTGTGCAGGGCGTCTGGTGAGGGTGTGGGCCCCCAAGAGTACACGCTGGTCAAGATGAAGGTCCTGGAGATACCTGCCGGGTGGAAGGTATGTTTAAACACCACACACACAGCACAGACACACACACAGACACAGACAATCACGGCCTCTCTGTCTGTCTGTCTGTGCTGTGGGTCGTGTGGTGTCGGGTTGCTGTCTGTGTAGGGTGCTGTGGGTGAGAGGTCGGTATTCCTGGTGGCTGCCACGCTGCGGCCCGAGACCATGTACGGGCAAACCAACTGCTTCGTCAAGCCCGAAGGAGAGTAAGCACCAAAGCTTTCCCCTCTCACCCACCCACCAGACCCACACCACACACATGACATGGACGCATCTGTGTGGTGTGCAGTGACGCCATCTACGGCGCCTACCTGATGAAGTCCGACGAGGTCTTCATCTGCAGCCGCCGGTCCGCCCTCAACATGGCCTACCAGGACATCGCCATCCTCGACGACCCCATCCCGCCAGATACCCTTCCCGAGCCTCGCTGCCTCCACACCATGCACGGCAAAGAGCTGATCGGGCTGAAGCTCAGGGCGCCCCTGGCTGTGTATGACGAGGTCTATGCGCTGCCGATGACCACGATCTCAATGGACAAGGGCACGGGGGTCGTCACGAGTGTGCCGAGTGATGCGCCGGACGATTATGCGGCTCTGAAAGACCTGCAGGTGGGGCAGAGGGGGGGGGGGGGGGGGGGGGGGG